GTGTACACGATGACTAAAATAAAATAATGGGGAAAAGGGAACACCATGTTCACAAGGTGTAAGAAGGGTTTTCGCCATGGTACGAGTGTATTTAAGAGCTAAGGGCGAAACAAGAACTCAATTTCATCATGTACAATTTTTTCTTGACTAGGCATAATGGAGTTGAAATGCTTTGATCAATTCATTTCAGAGAAAAATGACAATTTAGCATGAAAAGAACTCGAGACACAGGAATCAATAAATATAAGTATCCAAAACACTAAATACAAAACCACACTACCACAGAGGACTACACAAATGACTCAAACCTTCAAACGGACAATAATCTCAAAAAAAAAGACTACAGCAAAGAATCAAACCAAAAGCAAGTGTTCACTTATCTCGCAAATCACAGAGGACTACATTAATGAACCAACCCTGACTAAATCATTGCCAAAAGTGTATGTATAGCCATAAGTATATATGTATATTATAGTAGTGCACAAGAGATCAAGCCATGTGATGCCTTATTCAAGTTCAGTTTGTGAAAAAAATCAGTGTGATGTCTTTCTAGAAATAAATAACTACTATTTCTTCAATGAATATCGGAAGTACTGAGTAGTCAATGAAAACTAACCAACCTTCATTAGTCTGGGCGTTGGTGACAACGAGGTCAAAATCTGTACCCCTGCCCAAATGCTTGGATTCGAATATTTTTTCTTTCAAATTCAGAACAGAAATAAAGTGTCCGTCAATTGGAATTGAATCAAACTCTTTTGCACTTTTAAACTTAAAATACACCGCCATGTTTCTTTTTCTTAAAATTCTTCTTTCACCTCAGAGTCAACAACAGATAATAAAAAAAAGGGCCTTCAAATAATGAATTATATAGGCCTTATATTGAACTGAACCTAAGATTGATAACAAGTACAAAAGTTCTAAAAACTATTCTCTTTTTTCTTTCAATGGCTGAAGAAGATCAATCAGACGAAACTCGAACAGCCTGTGCGGGCAAAGTCTTCCAGAGCCTATTCTGACTCGTCAGCATGTCCAACAAAAGAAGTATCTAGGATTTCTACGGTTGATCAGAGCAGAGTTGTCTTGAAGCTCGTTGCATAAGGTAAGGGACGCTGGATGATGAAATCATAGCACGAGATCTTCCAGAAGAAGGCCGGATTACGTCAAGTCCTTGATTAAACAACAGGGTCACAATAGCCGGATTACTGAAGAGACGATCTTTTGCCGACTGTGGAACACTGCAGTCTTCACGAAGCCGTTGGTGCGCAGGAGAAAGCCGGATCTCTACGAACCCCAACGCGCAACTTCAAACAGGTGCATTATTATATCACTTACAGCCGGAATTCGCCACGGAAACGAACGACTGAAGAATTCTCAACCGAGATAGGGTTAGGGTTAGAAGCTTCAATTGATTGGATGAGAATCGAAAAGAAGGGCGTGGAGAGAGAAAAGGGGGAGAACCTTCGACTTTATTTGTGGATGGATACGGATATAATACTGCTGTAAATATGTATGCCGCTCGATATTGGGCTTCAATATGGGCCTTCGACGTATTTCATGTTTTCGCTTTTGGTGCTCATCGTACAAGTGGCGGAATCTTATTGGAAATATATTCCACGTAAACATCTCATCAAAGAAATAGAAAACCTCCCACAATTAAAAAAAACCATCTTCTAGTTCGCCATTCATATTGGACATCTCATTGGGTTGTTTGGAACCCATTCTACTTCTGCTTCTTTTTTAAAGTAGAAGCAGAATCAGAATCAGTTTTCAGAAGGCGGTCTTCCTCAACTTCTAAAAAAACTGATTCTATAAATAAATTAGAGCACTAGAATCACTTCTGCACTTTAACTCAAACACTACAACGTTTGTTTCTGCTCTCTAAAGGAACAAAAGCAGTTTTAAGAATCAAATCCAAACACCCCATTATCCTCTTAGAGGGTTCTCCAAACAAGAACTTTATTCATAGTCCGCCACAATCAATGTTAATGGAACAAAGAATCGAAGTTTAGTGCCAGCACCATGAAGCACTTGTTGAAATACCACGCGGTGGAGTTCGCGAGGGGATTTGCTAAGATGATTGTCGAGTTCCAAAAGGGGGTGAAGGACATAGTTATGCAGACGGTGGTGTCTGGTGACTCTATGATCGCAAAGAAGCTTGAGAATTGTGACAGAAAAATTCTAGAAAAGTGAAATTTATGAATGACTATTTGCCAAAAGATTGTGATACAGTCCGTTCATGGAGTGTGATTTCCTTTGTTGCAATAATTGCTTTTGAAGGTACTCCTATTGACTATTGTTTTGATTGCTCGGAAATATCAAGTCTACATTTTGGGCGCCCTTGTTCCGGTTTCACACGACTCACCCCCAACTCTAAAATGTTGCTAAAGATCTAATGTGGTCGTGATTCTGCAACTTTGTAACCTCAAGTTCTATTTCTTAACCAACCAACGCTAAAATGTCGCTAAAGATCTAATGTGGCTATGATTCTGCAACTTTGTAACCTCAAGTTCTATCTCTAACTATATTTCTTAACCAATTTGCACTCTATTAATTCATAGATGAAAATCGAAACCTTAAGATATTTTAGTGCCAAGAAGATTTGGTTCTATCCTCATCTTCCTTCTTCAACCTTTGCACTGCCATAAGATACGTAAGAATTAAGATCAACTAAGTTGTAGGGTTTAGTGTGACATCTTAATTTATTTGAATTAACTTGGGAAAAATATTTCTTTCGATGTGTTCCGCAAGTTTGGTGGTTATTGATGAGTTCTTTTAGATGTGTATATGTGGTTGGAGCAAGAGGTTTGAAAAGCAGTTCTAATAGCTGAGAGGGACACATGGGTTGAAGAAAATGGGTTTGAGAAGCAGTTCTAACTGTTTCTGGTGAGTGGTGTTGAGGAACCATTGTACATTTTGGGTATCATAGTCCATTAAACATAAAAGAGAAACTAAATCATATAAAAAAAGAGTACACTGATTATTAGTATGCTCCAAGGTGCCACCATCCACACGTTAAGCATACACTTTCATTTAGTTGAACTTTTAGGACACAAACTGAAGTTTAAACAATATAGAAAGTAATGAATATGTGGTTAGAGTTATTTGATTGAAATGACACGTATTCGTTAAATCTTCTAAAATAAAAGGCTAAAAGTGTTTGGTAAAATCTAGTTTAGCCAAATAAGTAAACCAAAAGCTACTTATTCCAATTATTCTATTTATTGTACTTATAAATAAAATATATGACTCTTTTTCAACAACATATTATTTGTTCTTATGCATTATAGTGAGTTGACTGGCAGATTGATGTCCGAAAAGAGACGCCTCCACCTAGGACAGATCTTTTTGATACACCACTAACATCATATCTTGGTACCAGTGGCGGCTTGAGAATTTTGGAGGCCCTAGACAAAAAAAAATGCACACCAAATCATATTGAAAATCAGATATATTGAATAAAAAACGTCGGAAAAAGCATATCCAAAGTGCACTATACAAGGTTTGTAATGTTCAAAAGAATCATTTTTTAACGGAAAAATTCATGTGAATAATCTCATCTATTATCTATCTTCTCTTATTAATCCCAAATATGAATTATTCCAAAATAATCTAAACAATATATGGTATCTTCTAAAAATGAGCCTGTGACCTGAACGAACAACTTTAGCAGGTTACCTGACCATGTGTCAAATTCTAACTGGGCATCATTATCTTTTCTATTTTCCTTTTATTTCTTTCCCTTTTATTTTCTCTTTTTTCCGTTTTTATTCCCTATCAAATTCTTCAGCAACCCTGTTCAAGACTTCGAGCCCTTTTCTTTCTCCAATCTGCTATGTATCTATTCTTCTTCATTCTCGAAGATATGGCCTTTTTTTCCTTCTTCTATTATTTGTTTTTTCTTTTTTTCTTTTCCCTGTTTTTGCTTCATCTTCCTGTACTGGGCGTACGAGTGTTTCGGGACATTCGAGGCACCGGCCCTTCTTTGATCCATCAAGCAAGGCCGCTGTAGAAATTGTAGAATTTCAACGACCGACTGGTTTTCCCAGAAGCTCTTCGACGACGACTGCCCGTTCGTCTTCATCAACATCGTCGTCCATCGGAGTTGTTCTTCGATGTCAGATCTCCATCGGTCCGTCACTCCGTCCATGCGAACTGTTCTTTGTATTCGTCGTCCATCCCTTCAACCCAGCAGCTGCTCCGGCCTCCACCATTCGTATTCGTAGACATCGATGAATAAAGTCACATTTGAGTTGGATTTCATAAATTAAACTTTGCAAATATGAAATTGAAAGAAGTACAATTTGAGGTGCAAATTGAAGAACGAAAGGAACGTGAGAGGGAGATTTACTATTGTGGTGCAGGGGAAGAGAAAAGAAAATTAAAAAAGAAAAGAAAACGAAAGTGAGATTCAGGCTGTTAGAGACGAATTGAAGGAAGCAGTAATGGACTAATGGTTCTGGACTTCCGGTGAAGATGAAGAAATATGCCATTCAAATTTCTTTTCTTTTAATAATTTATACTGGTTTAGCAAGTCACAGGTAACGTGGACTAATTTGGGAAGGGTGCTAGTATATTTGAGATTATTTTTGAATTATGCGTACTTGGGATTAATATAAGAAGATCTCGAATAGTTGGAATTATTTTTGTGAATTTTTCCTTTTTTAACATCCTTTTGAAGGGAGAAATAATATAACATCACGCAGTATTGAACATCTACAAATTTAGGAATTTACCTCATAAATAGAAAAATTATACTCCTTCATAATTAAATAAAAGATAATACAACATAAGAAAAATAAAAATATTATTACACCAAAATATATTGGTTTTAACTAAAAATAATAATACATCAGGCTTAAATGGAAAATACATATTCCGTATAGATATGACACCAAGTAAAAAAATCAAAAATGTCACGCCCCGGACCTCCCCGGACACGTCAACAACCCGCCGTACAATACAAATAGTCAACCGCAGTCCAACACATTCATATTATACAAGGCGTCTCGAATATCATTCACACGTAAGCCATCCATAAACAACATAATAAGCAATCGAATACGTAGCGGAAAACATAGTTTGAAAACAAATGCCACACGTGGCAAACATGAGCACGCAGGCTCTATAGTAAAATATTCATGAGCATGTTTATTAATGTTTAAAACAGAACGGAGGAAGCACGAACCAAGTCTTCCCTCCTATATGATCTCTCGAGCAACGAGCACAGGAAGCAAGCTCTAGCCTCAACCTGAAAAATGGTGGTGGGACGCTCCCGAAGGGGTCAGCACTCTATAGGGCTATAAAGTGCTGGTGTGGCAGGCATCTAATAGATATACAACAAGTATTTCACACACAAGACCCTCAAATAGGGTGATAATATAGTATAGGTCGTAATCCCAGATTACCCCTTTCAAAATACATACTTACTTTATATAAAGTCAAGTAGTCGGCTCAAAGGCCCATGTTTATTACAAAACATTTCCCAAGACCCCGTGACTAATGGTCACGACATACATAGGGTCCAACCCTAATATAACTTCTCATTTCTAGAGTTCGGCTCGAGTACATCATCATGCACTCGCATCATAGATCTCCTACTTCATGTAATCATATCATAGATCTCCTACTTCATGTACTCACCCCATAGATCTCCTACTTCATACAATCACGCCATAGATCTCCTACTTCATACAATCACACCATAGATCTCCTACTCCATGAAATCACACTTGACACTTGAATCTTATCCAAGTTCATCACAAACAACTCAAACCTTAAGTTTGATTCTATCAACATTTTGAACAATCCTTAACTAGCATCACAATACTATTAAGATTATTCCTACAACTCATTTATCATTAATGGTAGCCCCTCCATATCAATAGATATGTGGCAGCCTCCCATGTGCTAAGCATCATCATGCAATTATATATTTACATACACATAACATTCATACATGAGTTGGAAGGTCAATTTACCATATTAGCATACTTTTATCTCACATGACTCCATATTCGTCAATATGGTTTCAATTCACGATCAAGTCCATTACTTATCATTCATATCATGTTCAAGCATATTTATTCACAAAAACATGATTCAAGCATTTAGGTAATCTCATGCATAACCTACAAGTTGTAAGCAACTAGATGTCGGTCCTCACCTTAATTGAGCTTTAAACTTTTCCTTCTTGATCCAATGACCAAAGTCCCGTCCAAGGAAGTTTGAGAACTGATTCCTTGCTTGGAATTGAGTGTTAAACAGCCCCCTCAAAGTGCTATTTCAACTCCTAACCGAAGACACAAAAACAGTCCCTAGAACGGGTGTTTCCCGATGAATCCGTTCCCTAACCTTTCAAGGTTTTGTGTAGGTTAGTATCTAACCTTTCTAACAATTAAAGTCACTTTATAATAACATTTGATACACTTCACTCAGTGTATAATAATTCTTCAATCATTTATATGATTTAGACAATAGAGAGGAAGGTTTTGGATTCAAACTTACTTTGAATACAAAAACGTATTCCGCGAGGTTGTGTTTTGATCGGACGATTTGGAAGCCTTCCACTACTACGATTGATGCAAACCAGATCTTCACGGATTCCTCGTCTTGAGAGCTTTCTGTGGGTATCTCGCACGCCTTATTTGGATGTGTATAACTCGAGATATGAAGCAAACAAGTAACCTTACGCACTGGAGAACGAACCTGCGGCAGCTTCCCCTTTCTGTTGCTTTATTGGTTGTGTGGCTCTCTCCTTCTCCCTTATCCTTGGGAGTTCGAATGAGGGGCTTAAGGGAGTGTCCAAGACCCTTCAATAAGGGTGGATAAGTTGTGTGGAGTGAAATGAATTGGTATGGTCTCCATGAGATGTTTTTAGACATGGATGGGTCTCACTTTTGATCTCTATGTCATAAGATGTCTCTTTGTACTCATTCTAATTTATTTGGAACAAGTCAACCCTCTACATCATATTATTGATCTACAATATGTGTATGATCATCCCAATAATTTACATGATGAATATTATAGAAGAAACACCCTACTCCCATTATTTAGCTCAATAATGTCAAAGATGGGGTTATAGGCATTTGTATTCTTCTTGAATCATTCTATCACTTATTTGACATTTGTCATACATATTATTGGGCTACTAGCCGTGTGGGTCACTCCCGAGTGAGTCTAGAACGCCATTCTCGAATACTTGCTATTTTAGCAGGTTGGGCTCAAAATAACGTTTGGGTCGTGCGACCTTACTCGGATTGTCTTGAAAGATTATGTATCACTATTTGGATAATGTTGGGCTCTTTTATTTATTAATAAGACCCAAATAGTATTTGCATGCCCGACACTAATATACGAGTTCGAACAGTACACTAATCGATCATTAATTACGTAAAACATTAATCGTTTTACAAAATGTTTGGGAATCAGAAATCCAATACATAAACTTTGAATTTTAAATCAAATTTTCAAGGACGTTCGGGAGCGGTGTCACAAGTTCACCCCCCCTCTACTCGAATAGGAATGCATACTGCTTCCTCATCAAAGCTTCTGTTTCCCAAGTCTCTTCTTCGACCCGGTCACTCTTCCAAAGGACTTTAACCATTGGGACTTCTTTACTCCTCAGTTTCTTCACTTTTCTGTCAATAACTCTTACCGGTTGCACGGCATAGTTCAAATCTTCACGTACCTCCACGGGCGGCTTCTCCAACACATGAGAAGGATCATGCACATACTTCTTAAGCATGGACACGTGAAATACATTGTGAATCTTCTCCAACTCAGGAGTCAACTGTAGACGATATGCTACGGCCCCAACCCTCTCTATAATTCTGAATGGGCCTATATATCGTGGGTTAAGCTTTCCTCGGGTTTGGAATCGAATGATTCCTTTCCAAGGAGAAACTTTCAGGAATACCTCGTCATCAACCTTAAACTCTAAGGTTCTTCGACGCTTATCTGCATAACTCTTTTGCCTATCCTGAGCCGCTTTGAGTCTCTCTCGAATCAACTTCACCTTTGACTTGGTGATCTCAACCAACTCAGTACCCTCGAGTTTGGCCATGCCAACCTCGTCCCAGCATAACGGTGTACGACACCTCCTCCCATACAATGCTTCATATGGAGGCATGCCGATACTTGCCTGATAACTGTTGTTATAGGCAAACTCCACGAGTGCTAAGTGGTTGTCCCAACTTCCTTGGAACTCTAACGCACAGCCCTCAGCATATCCTCTAATATCTGTATAACCCTCTCAGACTGCCCATCCGTCTGTGGATGGAATGCAGTACTGAACTTCAACCTCGTTCCCATAAACTCTTGAAATTTTGGCCAAAAACGTGATGTGAATCGTGGGTCTCTATCGGATACAATGGTCACTGGGACCCCATGCAGCCTCATGATCTCATCCGTATACAATTTGGCTAACCTCTCAAGTGGGTAGGTAGTGTTGATAGGCAAGAAGTGTGCACTCTTTGTGAGCCTATCCACAACAACCCAAACCGCATCGTAGTTCCGAATTGTCCGGGGTAAACCTACCACGAAATCCATAGTCACATGTTCCCACTTCCACTCAGGAATGGAAAGTGGTTGTAACAAGCCTGCTGGATGCTGATGTTCTGCCTTAACTTGTTGATAAGGCATCGGCTGATGTACTCGGCTATTTCCCTCTTCATTCCAGACCACCAGTAACTTTCTTTCAAATCATGGTACATTTTCGTGCCCCCGGGTGCATGGCATAAGCCGATGAATGAGCCTCCTCTAAGATGGACTTTCGGAGCTCATCGTCTGACGGCACACACACTCGGTCACGAAATAACAAGAGACCATCATCTCTTTCCCTGAAATCCTCCACCGGTCCCGCTTGCATGTGTTCCCGGACCTTCATAAGTTCTGCGTCAGTCTCTTGACCCTTCTTGATCTCATCAAGTAAAGTAGGTCTCACCTCAAATCGTGCCAATAAGGCACCATCGCTGGATACCTCCAGTTGGGCTCTTAATGCCCTCAAATTAGCTAGCAATGCCCCAGACGAGCTCTTCCGGCTCAAAGCATCTGCCACCACGTTTGCCTTGCCTGGGTGATACTCTATCACTAGATGGTAGTCTTTTATCAACTCCATCCACCGTCTCTGTCTCATGTTTAGCTCTTTCTGAGTAAACATGTATTTCAAGCTCTTGTGATCAGTGTATATGTGACATGTCTCCCCGTAGAGATAATGTCTCCATATCTTCAGTGCAAACACCACAGCCCCCAGCTCCAGGTCATGAGTAGGATAATTCACCTCATGCTTCTTCAACTGTCGTGAAGCATAGGCGATTACCCTCCCGTTCTGCATCAGTACGCATCCAAGACCTTGGATGCTCGCATCACTATAGACATCGTACCCCACACCCTGTTTGGGTAATGCAAATACCGGTGCCTCGGTCAATCGCTTCTTTAGTTCCATGAACCCCTCCTCACATTTGTCATCCCATACAAACTTAGCTCCTTTACGAGTGAGCTTCGTCAATGGTGATGCCAAAACAGAGAACTTCTCCACGAACTTTCTGTAGTAGCCTGCCAGTCCAAGGAAACTACGAATTTCCTTGACGTTCTTTGGTCTCTCCCATTCGGTAATGGCTTCTATCTTCTTGTTATCAACAGCAATTCCCGATCCTGAAACCACGTGCCCGAGGAAGCCAATCTCCTTTAGCCAAAATTCACATTTAGAAAATTTGGCGTAGAGTTGCTTCTCCCGTAGTGTCTCAAGAACAAGTATCAAGTGCTCTTCATGCTCTTCTTCACTCTTTGAGTAAATCAAGATGTCATCTATGAACACAATCACGAATCGGTCCAAGTATTTATGAAATACTCGGTTCATCAAGTCCATGAATGCCGCCGGGGCGTTTGTTAACCCAAACGACATAACAAGGAATTCAAAATGCCCATACCTTGTGCGGAAAGCACTCTTTGGTATGTCATCTTCCTTAATCTTCAATTGATGGTAACCCGACCTCAAATCAATCTTTGAAAACACGGTTGCCCCTCGTAGTTGGTCAAACAAGTCATCAATTCTAGGCAAAGGATACCTATTCTTGATTGTGACCTTGTTCAGTTGACGATAGTCAATACACATTCGAAGTGTCCCATCTTTCTTTTTCACAAAAAGAACTGGCGCTCCCCACGGGGAGTGGCTTGGTCTAATGAAACCGTTATCCAAAAGCTCTTGCAATTGGGTTTTCAACTCGTTAAGTTCGGCGGGTGCCATACGGTATGGCGGTATGGAGATTGGTTTGGTACCAGGCTCGACCTCGATCACAAATTCAATCTCTCTATCAAATGGGAGCCCCGGTATGTCTTTAGGGAAGACATCCGGATACTTACAAACCACCCTCACATCATCGATGTTCGCTTCCTCTTTGGTTTTGTCAACCACGTATGCTAGATATGTGTGGCATCCCTTTCTCATCATACTTCTCGCTCTCACGGCGGATATGATACAGCTATTTGATCCCCCTCGATCGCCCTCGAAGCGTAGGGTCTCCCCATCATTGCCTTCGAGTTCAAGAACCTTCGTGTGGCAATCTACCCTAGCATGGTTCCTTTCTAGCCAATCCATCCCTAGGATTGCATCGAATTCAATCATGCTCAGCGGTACGAAGTCACACGTCAAGGTTTGACCATTAACCTCCACCCCACAAGATGGATAGTAACAAGTTCTTTCCACGTCATCCCCTAGTGGTGTTGATACCACTAAGGTTTGCATCAATGGTGCGGATTGCACTCCCAACCTCTTGGCGAACGCTTCATTCACAAATGAACGTTGCGCCACGGTATCGATAAGGATTCGCGCATCCTTCCCATTAATCCTTAATGTTCCTACATTTATAAGCCATGTAAGACACCATTCCTAACATGTCTAAACTTTATTTAGGGTTGGGGTGCATTTACCGTTCAACCGGGGTGGGTCCCGCTTGGGTACGGAAAATTTTCAGCCGAAAAGACTTCGGACCGGCGCCGGTTCAGGCCTGACCGGCGCCGGTTGTCCCGGTTAAACGTCCCGGCTGCCCTGGTCATAATGGGCCGGTTCCACATAGGCTGCTTCCATCGAAGGTCCGGCGCCGGTTGGTGGGTTTTCGGCGTCGGTTGGCTGGGTTTCGTTGGCCTGCAGCGCCGGTTTGGAGGGCCGGTCGGACACAGGCTCGTCCCAGGGCAGGTCCGGCGCCGGTTAGGGGGTGGCCGGCGCCGGTTGGATGAAAAATTGCCCCAGATGTGCGCCGGTTGGGGGAGGGCCGGTCCGAAACAGGCTTCCCTCAAAGGCATGTCTGGCGCCGGTTAGCCTCGGACCGGCGCCGGTTGGGGCGGGTAATTTGACTACACTTCGTTTTTTGTGAGTCGAAATGCCCGGTTCGCCCCTACGGTGGCCGGGCCTTACTCCTAAACCATATACACTTAAAATAAGGCTAAAATACCACGTTTTCAAGAGCTAATACCTGCAACGGAATCCGGGTTCGCTCGAGCATCCGCCTCCGTCATCGCATAGACTCTAGCTTGAGTCCTTCCTTGATTCACGGATGGTGCGTTGCTCGTACTCGCTCCCCCATGCCCCCGGCTCGCTTGAGAAGCCCCGGTTTGATTCCGTGTACCCGTCGGACCACTACTCGGTCCCGATGTCCTTGCCCCACCCAATTGTGGGCAATGCGCTTTCAAATGCCCGGTGTCCCCGCATTGGAAGCATCTAGGAGGTTCACGGCATTTCTCGAGGTGACTCTTCTTGCAATTCAAGCAACGAGGCGTCCCCGAGGCTTGTGACCCCGAGTCATGCCTGCTCGAGCCCTGGTTCCCTCTAGATGGTGGCGGCGGTGCACGGAAAGATCCCCCTCCATGGTTCCCCTTTTTGTTGGAACCTTGGGAGCCGTGACTCTCCCACTTTCTCTTCTTCGCCTCCTCGGCGTCTCTCTTCTTTCTCTCCTCCCACTGTTTTTCCCCTTTCAACCCTTGGTCGACTACTTGGGCAAACGTCATGTTAGGCAATTGTGTTGCTCTATCACGTATTTCCAAGTCCAGAGCATCCCAGAAGTGGTTCACCATCCGGTTCTCGTCACAGATATACTCCGGTATGAACTCCGCGAGCTCCCTGAATTTGTGTTCAAGTTGCCTCACCGTCATTTTGCCACCTTGGGTCAGGAGGGTATACTCTCTTCTCTTAGCGTTCACCTCAAAATCAGAATAGTACTGGGCAAAGAACTCCTGCCGGAAATTCTCCCAAGTCACAACATTGCCATACTTCCCCTTGGCTCCGTCCCACCATGTGGATGCCATCCCTTCAAGCAATCTTACCGCCACCCTTAGCTTGAATTCGGGGGTGAGTTGCATATCAAGGGCTGCTTCGTTCAACCTCTTGATCCATTCCGCGGCGACCGAGATGTCACCTGCTCCATTGAAGGGTTTGCACCCCAAGTCTCGTGCCTCTTTGAGGTATTTGGAGATCCTTATGATCGGACCTCCATCACCCCGGCCCCCATGTGGTTCAATGTGGGCCCTAGAGTCGCCATGGCTTCTTCCTCTTGAAGCCCCACCCGAAGTTCGCCCTCCTCGGCGCCTTCGGCGTTCCCTCCTTTCCTCGCGCTCCCGCTGATATTGCTGGAGCAGCGCCTCAATTCTTGCTAGGGAGTCGTTCTCCCCTTCTTCATCACTCACATCATCGTCATCCCCTTCGTAAGGGGTCTCAACCGGCTCGGTTTCCGGTTGGTAAGTCGAGTCCTCATAGGACCAGTAGGTTTCACTTTCTGTGTCGACATGACCGTCACTCACGGTCTGTGATCGGCCTCCACGGCCAGCTCCTCTAGATGCCCTAGAGGTCCTTCGACTGCCCTGTCCAGTCTCCACTGGTACACGGCCGATCGGGTTCCTCCTAGTAATCCTGCCACCACGGTCCATTTCTGAAAGAAATTGGAAAGAGTCGTTAGACTCGTATCAAATGTCAATTGACGGATAGGTACTTAAGACACGTTTTGGCTCGAGTCACCGCCATACCAATTGCTAAGGGTACCATCTTAACAATTAGAGACCTTGCAACCCAAGTACCAAAAGCTCTCCAAGTACAAAACTTCTATGCTCATGGTTTTCAAAATCTTTTCAAAAGAAAATTTTGAGACTTCATTATGAAGTTTATGGACTAAGGCTCTGATACCAACTTAATTGTCACGCCCCGGACCTCCCCGGACACGTCAACAACCCGCCGTACAATATGAATAGTCAACCGCAGTCCAACACATTCATATTATACAAGGCGTCTCGAATATCATTCACACGTAAGCCATCCATAAACAACATAATAAGCAATCGAATACGTAGCGGAAAACATAGTTTGAAAACAAATGCCACACGTGGCAAACATGAGCACGCAGGCTCTATAGTAAAATATTCATGAGCATGTTTATTAATGTTTAAAACAGAACGGAGGAAGCACGAACCAAGTCTTCCCTCCTATATGATCTCTCGAGCAACGAGCACAGGAAGCAAGCTCTAGCCTCAACCTGAAAAATGGTGGTGGGACGCCCCCGAAGGGGTCAGCACTCTATAGGGCTATAAAGTGCTGGTGTGGGGGGCATCTAATAGATATACAACAAGTATTTCACACACAAGACCCTCAAATAGGGTGATAATATAGTATAGGTCGTAATCCCAGATTACCTCTTTCAAAATACATACTTACTTTATATAAAGTCAAGTAGTCGGCTCAAAGGCCCATGTTTATTACAAAACATTTCCCAAGACCCCGTGACTAATGGTCACGACATACATAGGGTCCAACCCTAATATAACTTCTCATTTCTAGAGTTCGGCTCGAGTACATCATCATGCACTCGCATCATAGATCTCCTACTTCATGTAATCATATCATAGATCTCCTACTTCATGTACTCACCCCATAAATCTCCTACTTCATACAATCACGCCATAGATCTCCTACTTCATACAATCACACCATAGATCTCCTACTCCATGAAATCACACTTGACACTTGAATCTTATCCAAGTTCATCACAAACAACTCAAACCTTAAGTTTGATTCTATCAACATTTTGAACAATCCTTAACTAGCATCACAATACTATTAAGATTATTCCTACAACTCATTTATCATTAATGGTAGCCCCTCCATATCAATAGATATGTGGCAGCCTCCCATGTGCTAAGCATCATCATGCAATTATATATTTACATACACATAACATTCATACATGAGTTGGAAGGTCAATTTACCATATTAGCATACTTTTATCTCACATGACTCCATATTCGTCAATATGGTTTCAATTCACGATCAAGTCCATTACTTATTATTCATATCATGTTCAAGCATATTTATTCACAAAAACATGATTCAAGCATTTAGGTAATCTCATGCATAACCTACAAGTTGTAAGCAACTAGATGTCGGTCCTCACCTTAATTGAGCTTTAAACTTTTCCTTCTTGATCCAATGACCAAAGTCCCGTCCAAGGAAGTTTGAGAACTGATTCCTTGCTTGGAATTGAGTGTTAAACAGCCCCCTCAAAGTGCTATTTCAACTCCTAACCGAAGACACAAAAACAGTCCCTAGAACGGGTGTTTCCCGATGAATCCGTTCCCTAACCTTTCAAGGTTTTGTGTAGGTTAGTATCTAACCTTTCTAACAATTAAAGTCACTTTATAATAACATTTGATACACTTCACTCAGTGTATAATAATTCTTCAATCATTTATATGATTTAGACAATAGAGAGGAAGGTTTTGGATTCAAACTTACTTTGAATACAAAAACGTATTCCGCGAGGTTGTGTTTTGATCGGACGATTTGGAAGCCTTCCACTACTCCGATTGATGCAAACCAGATCTTCACGGATTCCTCGTCTTGAGAGCTTTCTGTGGGTATCTCGCACGCCTTATTTGGATGTGTATAACTCGAGATATGAAGCAAACAAGTAACCTTACGCACTGGAGAACGAACCTGCGGCAGCTTCCCCTTTCTCTTGCTTTATTGGTTGTGTGGCTCTCTCCTTCTCCCTTATCCTTGGGAGTTCGAATGAGGGGCTTAAGGGAGTGTCCAAGACCCTTCAATAAGGGTGGATAAGTTGTGTGGAGTGAAATGAATTGGTATGGTCTCCATGAGATGTTTTTAGACATGGATGGGTCTCACTTTTGATCTCTATGTCATAAGATGTCTCTTTGTACTCATTCTAATTTATTTGGAACAAGTCAACCCTCTACATCATATTATTGATCTCCAATATGTGTATGATCATCCCAATAATTTACATGATGAATATTATAGAAGAAACACCCTACTCCCATTATTTAGCTCAATAATGTCAAAGATGGGGTTATAGGCATTTGTATTCTTCTTGAATCATTCTATCACTTATTTGACATTTGTCATACATATTATTGGGCTACTAGCCGTGTGGGTCACTCCCGAGTGGGTCTAGAACGCCATTCTCGAATACTTGCTATTTTAGCAGGTTGGGCTCAAAATAACGTTTGGGCCGTGCGACCTTACTCGGATTGTCTTGAAAGATTATGTATCACTATTTGGATAATGTTGGGCTCTTTTATTTATTAATAAGACCCAAATAGTATTTGCATGCCCGACACTAATATACGAGTTCGAACAGTACACTAATCGATCATTAATTACGTAAAACATTAATCGTTTTACAAAATGTTTGGGAATCAGAAATCCAATACATAAACTTTGAATTTTAAATCAAATTTTCAAGGACGTTCGGGAGCGGTGTCACAAAAAACAGTTGCTCTATTGAAAATATTAAAATAGTTGTGCAGACCGCAGAGTGAAGCAAAAGCAAAGCTATACTGCAAGACAATGTGCCATATCTTTGTAATATTTTTTGTTGCTCTATTATGATTAGGCCTGGACTCGGGCCGGGCGGACCGAACCGGGCCCGGCCCGCTCACTGTAGCAACCGGCCCGACCCGGTCCACCGGGCCTCAGGCGGTTCGGGCCTACCCGGCCCGGGTGCAGGGCAGTCCGGGCTCGGGCCTTGATTTTCTTGAACCGGCCCGGCCGGGCCGGGCCCGGTCCGGGCCTAACGGCTAATTTTAAAAAAAAAAATCTTTTTCAATTATTTTTTGGCCTTGGTCTTTGTCAAACGGCTATTGTAGCCGTTGGGGCTGTTTGGGAGCCTCCAAACGGCTCTATAGCCGTTGGAGGGGGGTGGGGGGAGAAAAAAAAACCTATTTATACTCCTATTTTCTATACATTTTTTACACCTTCTTCATACAATCCTAATCTCTAATTCTCTATTCTCTCAATCTCTAAAATCTTCATTCATCTCCATCTTCATCTTCTATTCTTCTCCAATTATCTCTACATATATATTATTTATATAAATATTATTATATCTACTTACATATTTATTATCTACTTATATATACATATATTACATTACTGATATTTATTATCTACTTAATATATATTTATTATCTTATAATTAGCTACTTTACATATATATATATATATATATATTATATAACTTATATTCCTTATCTACTTAATCTCTACTTATTATTAATTTATTATATCTACTTATATATTTATTATCTACTTATATATACATATAGTACTTTACTAATATTTATTGTCTACTTAATAGTTAATATATACTTACTATCTTCTTAAAGTAGATAATTTGATATCTAATTATCTACTTTACATACATATATTATCTTCTCCCTATTCATCATCAACCAATCGGCCAATCCACCAAGGTACTCTTCTCTTCTTTTATCCATTAATGGCGTTATATTCAAGTAGTTAATTTGTTGCATTATTCATTAAAGTGTACAAGTAGTAAACTTAGACATTTTAATTAAAGTATAAAACTAGTTAATTTGTTGCATTTCTCATTAAAGTGTACACCTAGTAAATTTAGACATTTTAATTAAAGTATAAAACTAGTTAAGTTATTGCATTATTCATTAAAGTGTACAACTAGTAAATTTAGACATTTTAATTAAAGTATAAAACTAGTTAATTTGTTGCATTTCTCATTAAAGTGTACACCTAGTAAATTTAGACATTTTAATTAAAGTATAAAACTAGTTAAGTTATTGCATTATTCATTAAAGTGTACAACTAGTAAATTTAGACATTTTAATTAAAGTATAAAACTAGTTAATTTGTTGCATTTCTCATTAAAGTGTACACCTAGTAAATTTAGACATTTTAATTAAAGTATAAAACTAGTTAAGTTATTGCATTATTCATTAAAGTGTACAACTAGTAAATTTAGACATTTTAATTAAAGTATACAACTAGTTAATTTGTTGCATTTCTCATTAAAGTGTACACCTAGTAAATTTAGACATTTTAATTAAAGTATAAAACTAGTTAAGTTACTGCATTATTCATTAAAGTGTACACCTAGTAAATTTAGACATTTTAATTCAAGTATAAAAGTAGTTAATTTGTTGCATTTTCCATTAAAATGTAGAAGTAGTTAATTGTTACATTTTAATTAAAGTATACAACTAGTTAATTTGTTGCATTTCTCATTAAAGTGTACACCTAGTAAATTAAGACATATTAAAATATTTGATATACTTTTATATTTGTTAAGATGGAGCGTGGTAGACATTCTTTGGATATCGGAAATCTCCAACGCAACCGAAAGAAGGAGATTGCGAGAACTCATCCTAGTTTGCGCAAAAAAAGCGGGCAGTCCGGATCTTCTTCTCAAAGTCGATGGGAGGACGAACCGGAATACCAACGGCGAGATGGCGAAAGAATGTTCGACGAGCAACTACAACAACTATTGGCTCAAAATCTTCAATTTTTCCATCAACGAGACATCCCGGACGATATTCACACCATTGACGAAGAAGAGCTCGAGGATGACGATCCGGAGGAGGACGCGGGGGGCGCCGGGAGTCACGGCACCCCGGATGAGGAGCAAGAGGCGGAGGACGAGGGTGGTTCATCCCAAATAGGTACGAAATCTAAATCTCCTATTATAGAAAATAATTTTAAAAAGTATAAAGACCCAAGCACCGAGAAATGGTACGCAAGTTGCAACCATTGCGATAAGGTGTACAGTTTGGGAACTTCGGGCGGATACGGGAGCCTCAAAAGGCATCTTATGGGCAAGCACAAGGTGGAGTACGCAAAAATTGAGAAAGGCAAGGGGAAGCAAACACAAATATCGAGGTTTGCAAATAACCAACCTTATGGTAATTTCTCATACAATGATCAACAAAATTTGACTGGTATGGCTAACTTTATGGTTGAAGAAAATTTACCTTATTTGTTTTCTGAAAGTGTTTCTTTTAAAGAGTATGCACAAACTTGTTTAAATCCTCAATTTCGAAGTTATAGTCGAAAAACGGTTAAAAAAGAAATTATAAGGCTTTATAAGGCGGAAAAGTTGAATTTACAAATTTTTTTTGCAAACTATGATGGGCGTGTTACTGTTTGTTCTGACATATGGGAGGACACCTATCATAATTTACATTATTTGGGTTTGACTGCACATTATGTTGATGATGATTGGAATTTGCATAAACGTGTTCTTGCTTTTCGTGAATTTAATGATCGTCACACCGCCGAACATATTTATATTTTGATTGAGCGTATTTTAATTGAGTATAATTTGGTTGATAAGGTGTTTGCTATAGGTTTTGATAATGCTACTAATAATACTGCTGCTATACCTAGATTGCGTGAATTGTGTGGTTCTACTACTTTGATGGGTAGATTTTTTCATCAACGATGTGCATGCCATATAATAAATTTATGTGTGCAGGATGGTCTAAAAGCGTTGGGAGATGCTATGGAGGTAGCGAAGGGGGGGATTAGACGTATTTGGGCTAATGGTCAACTTAGATTAAAATGGAAAAATTATTTGAATGAAAGAAATGTGAAATATGTTGCTTTTCCTAAAGATTTGTCTATTCGGTGGAATAGTTCTTATAAATTAATTAAAGTTCTTATTAGATATAAAGAACATTTTCCTGCTTTTTTAAAAGAATATGATAACTACATTTTAAACTCCGCTCACATCGACACTTGCGAAAAAATTTGTAATGTTTTGATATTTTTTAATAATGCAACTGAAAGTTTTAGTCATGTTTATAAACCTACTTCTTGCGAATTTATTCGTGAACTTGTTAATCTCGCCGGTGCTTTTAATGAATTTCAAAATGCCGATTATGTGAGCTATTTTTGTACTTTTATGAAGGAAAAGTTTTTAAAATATTATGCACATATTCCGCATATTTATGGTATTGCATTTATTCTCGATCCTCGTTATCGACTTGGTAATTTGGAACAATGTTACAAGTTCTATTATCAATCTTTTTATGGTGATTTTCCAATGTATGAAGATAACCCTATAGATCCGCAATCTGAATACAACGAGGTTAGTAGTTTATTTTATTCTTTATTTAATGAGTTTCGTGCACAATATGGCAACGCGCCCCCTCCCCCAACCCAAACATCTTCATCTAAAGGAAAAGGATTTTTTAAATCTGCATTTGGCAATCTTATGAAAAAAACTAAAACAACGCACACTACTGAACAAAGCACAATTAATGAGATTGCTTTGTATACTAACTATGAGGTTGAGTTTGTAGAAAATGAAGAATTTGACGTCCTAAAGTGGTGGAAGTCAAAAGAAAGAATGTTCCCGATTTTAGCACGGATGGCTAAGCAAGTACTATCAATGCCGGTTTCAACAGTTGCCGTGGAACAAGAATTTAGTTCGGCCGGCAACGTCCTAACTAAATCGAGAACGTGTTTGAGTGCCGAATCTCTTGAGACGCTTAAATGCTACCACGATTGGTTGAAGGCAAGACGTAGAACTCAAGAACTTAGCCTCACCCCCTCCCAAGACTTTATGGATGAATCAACCGAGGGTGGTTCTACCTATGCCGGGGATTCTGATTGATTAGTATTTTACAATTTATTATTTTATCCTCAATTCTCTATTGTAATTTGTGAACTTGTAGATTTGTAGTTCATATTTCAAATCAATAAAAGTTATATTTTTTTATATGTCGCATTTCTCAAATTAATCAAGTTACAACTTACAACTTACAACAAATTAATTATATTATATTATTATTACTTAATACAAAATGTATTAGAATTAATTGTTCTCAATTCTCAAAATGTACTTATAACTTATTTCACATAAATGTACTTCAAGATTGTTTTTAATATCCAAGATTCCAAGTACATGTATAAGACTATAAGTTAAAAAAAAAAAAATCAAGGCCCGACCCGAACCGCCGGTTCACCCGGCCCGGGGCCCGGCCGGGTCACCCGGCCCAAACCGGCACCCGCATACAGGCGGGCCGGGCCCGGGCCTTACATTTCCGAACCGAGGCCCGGCCGGGCCTAGGCCCGAACCGGCCCGAGTCCAGTACTAATTATGATAAAGAAAATGTAATAATTGGATACACTAACTGATACTTGATATATATAGTTGTTATCCTGTATTAGTTTTTATACTATTACAGATATGTAATGTTGTTCATTTTGGTCAATGAAATTATAGTACTGATTGAGACTTTCTGACCTGTGCTGTTTGTTTTGGTAAATAAAATGTGATGTTGTTGGTTTATGTGCAATTAATTTTGGTCATCTGATTTCCGAATTAGTTCCTGTTTTTGGTAAACAAATTGAAACTCAAATTGTTCATTTTATTTCTGGTATATGTTGTTAATATTAAGGTTAATGAAATATAAATGTCATAACATAATGGAACCAAGAAAATTGCTAAA